CACTCGGGAGGCAGAGGCAGGCAGATCTCTGTGGGATGGAGACCAGCCTGGTCTACATAGCAAGTTCCAGTTCAGCTGGGGCTACAGGGAGACCCTGTCTCAGAAAAGACCGAAAAAAAAAATTCTCCTTGCTCTCAGAGATAACGATTCAACTTGAATAATAATTCAAGTTTAAGGACTGACCTTTTTAGTTTGCCTATTTTCCAGTTCTGGGAATCAAACCCAGGGTACCATACAAACATTCTCTACCATTGAGCTATATCCTCATGTCCCAGCTATTTGTTCTTAATACATAATGAATTTGGGCAATAGCATTGAGTTGAATTCCATCTACAACTTTAGAATTTTTGTGTTTTGTAAATGCAGTTGAAGGTTAAAGTTTTTTTCCTTTTTCTTTTTGCAACAAAAGCAGTGTGCCACACTTGTTTTCTTTCTTTTGTGGCTTCTTTGGTGTTCTGCTCTTGGTAAGCCTCGAAGTACTTCTCAGTTTACTGGAGAAAGAGCTTCAGTGAACCAGAGGACAGAATTAATGTTTACATGTAGCCACTTTTCATAAACTATAAAAATTCAAAGGAATCCAGCTTCCCTGTATAAATGTACCAAGTGTATGTTAGTTACTTGTTTAGAAACAAGAATTTATTCTCTCATAGACTCTTTATTAAGGATGCAAAGCCAGCTCATAAAAATGTTCTCTAATAGCCTGATTCTGGGGCCTGAGAATAAAAAGATGAGAAAATATACCCAACTGATTACTTGCAGAAGGATTTTATGAGTCTGAGGCCAGCTTGAGCTACACAGTGAGTTCCAGACCAGCCTAGGCTACGAAGTGAGACCTTGTCTCAATAACAAAAATGTTGGTGTATTTACACTGTACTTTGGACTCAAGACTTCCTGGTATGATGACCAGCAGGCACCTACAGTCAACAGAGAGACTCCAACAGTCATAACTGCAGGAAGGTAGCACAGTAGCACTTCAGTAGATATCTGTGGCCTCCCCAAATCGAGAATAGTATTGCTTAGAAAGGAACAGGTCCTTTAAAGATTAAAACATCTACAGCTGGAGAGATAGCTTAGTGGTTAAGAGCACTTGCTGCTCTTGCAGAAGGCTCAGGTTTGGTTCCCAGCACCAACATGACGGTTAATCATCATCCATAACTCCAGTTCCAAGAGATCCGATGCCTTTTTCTGGTCTCCATGGGCACAAGGTACACATGTGGTGCACTTACATACACTCAGGCAAACACTCATACACATAAAATAAATGAATCTTTTTTTAAAAATAAAGATTTGAAAATCTCTATCCATCCCACCAAACTGAAGAGAATGGAGACCTTTGTTTAAAACTGATACTTGCAAAAGGTGACACAAACAGGCAGAAGGAGATTACTGGGTGTTACTGAACATGGGCCTTCTTACAGTAACCTTATAAAACTGTGGGGATTTCTCATTGTTTGTAGATAAGGACACAGACCCAGAGAAGCTTATAAATTTTCCCAAGACAACAAGTAAAAGGCAACGCTGGTTGCAAGAGAAGTGTCACTGAACTCTAAGCCCACACTCTTCCTCAGTCACTAGGTTCCAAGTATACAGAGTAAGCTCACCAGTGAGCGTATGAAAAAATTGCAGGAAACCAAATAGGTAAAAAAAATATTTGCTTGATAAATCTGTCTGGGATATTGTGGGGATTTTTTAAAGTAAATTTTTAAAAAGAAAAATTTGTTTATAAAGGAAAAATAAGGGAAATCAAAATCTAAGCTTTTATATTAAACAAAACATTTAGTGTTGCCTTAAAAGCACACTACCTTATGCAGAAACGATGGAATACTGCTGTTCCTGGCTCAATATTAGAGCAGAAGATGGCATCAGCTTGTGGACTGGCATGCACCTGCATGAATCTTTTCAGATATCATTTAATCAACAAAGTGCCCTGTGACCATCAGCGCCTCTTTACTTGCTTCTCTGGGACATACTAAATCTGCAGATTATCATCAAAATAACCATGCTTGAAAATAAACACTTTCTGAAAAGAAAGCAGCATTTTATACAAAATAGACTAAAGTTCTAGGCATTAAGGGCATCAGGACAGTATCCATAGCAACCATGTGCCACAACACCCCAACTACAGTTGAGGGAGCAGGCATAAACTTCAGAATCCTGCAGTAAGGTGAGAGCACAACTTGAATGTGCTTGGGTACCACTTAACTGGAACTCAGCGAGATCTAACATGGCCTTAGAATAGCAGAAAAACATTTTAAGCACTTTTTATTGAAAATAAGAGCTTGATGTTTGGAAATATTTATAAAATCAGTAAAGAACTTGACTTATAATAATTATGCCTTCTCAAAAAAAATGTTCCCCTTATTAGTTAGTGGAGCAGTCTAGAAAAAAATGTTTGTTTGGGGAGGAAATCCCCTTGCTCTGGCTATATTGTAACATTTGTATTTGATATAGTGGTAACTAATAATTTCATTAGGTTTTGGAATAGAAACATCATTTAGATGTCCAAAATGGAAAAGCATTACTTTAATAAAAGCAGGAAAAAAAAAACCTGAGATTGTCAAGAGAAACTAATTTGGTTGTGAACAATGAACAGTGCTTAGCTTCCTTATAAACAGGGCATGTAAGCTCAAAGAAAAAAACACCACTGCCTGAGTAGCACCCTGAAAAACCTTTCACTATATCTTTATATCCTCATGCACAAAGGTTTCAGGAAGAGGGGCAGGCTGGCCTCAACCACTAGTGAGGCCCATCCTGTCAAGGTCCTTCCATTCTGTTCAATCTCGAACTATTTGTACTGTTAGTTCCTGTCCTGGTGATTTAGCCAGTGGCTGTCTAATGTCTTTTGTCTGAAGACTAGCGGTTCTCAAACTTTAGCATGCCTCCAAATTCAGCTGAGGGTTTGCTAAACCACAGATACCCAGCGTCTAATTCAGTACATTTGGAAATTTGCGTTTCTGACAAGCTCCCAGGTGAGGCCACTGTGCCTGCTCTGGGAGCCATGGCCTTGAAATCATTCCTGATGCCTACTTCTCAGATCAGCCTGACTTATCAAGCACGTGAGCAGACAACTTGGGATTGGATGAGTTACAACATTCCAGTGCACCCTTCCCAGCTTTATCCTACC